CCGATGGAACCCGTAGTAGGTGCTTCCAGGGGGCACTGGGGAAAAGGGGGGACCAAGGTGTGATCTATCACCCGTGTAGCTGGGAACGGAACCACGCAACCGGCTGCCGAGCTAGCTAGAGAGCAGACAGCGAATTCAGTAGTCGGGTGCATTTTTGCGCACCCGTGGGTCCCCTCCGTCCCCGATCTGGGCTCGCGCCGAGTGGCCGTGCCGCTTGCCGGTTCTCTCCGTGCAGTTCGTGAAGGCACTGTTCGGATGTGCATGGAATCGAGCAACTCCTCTGTGTGTGTGTGTGGTCACGCCGTGCAGGTGGCGGAGGGTGTCGCCACTGCCGGTGTGGTGGTGGGTCTGGCCCGCAAGTACCGGGTATCCCTACCAGTGCTAACCGCGGTGGCCCAGGTCCTGGACAACAACCTCACAGCGAGGGAGGCCGTCTTCCACATCATGAACCTGCCGCAAATAGAGGAGGCCTGAGGATAGGAATGACAGCGGTGCAACCCTTTCCTTTCCCCTTCGGCACCCCCGTCCGTCCGCCCCCTTTTTAAGCTGAAGCCAGTTGCTGCGATAGGCAATGAAGCGGCTTCAGTCAAGTAGGCAGGCATGAATGCAGGGGGCAACGCCCTTCCGCAGCAGGACATGAGCATTCCTTGCGTGATATCCAATGGAAGCAGCCGCTTAGCAAACAGCCGTATCAGCAGCTCCCCGTAAGTTGGTAGGGAGTGCAGCTCGCAACCTGATGTGCATTGTTTATCCTGATGCGCTGTGGCCTTATTTCTTTTGGTTACATCCTGACCAGTCTTAACTCCACTGCAAGGCAGGGGGGAGTATGCCAGTTTGAGTGGTGTCATACGTCTGTCGTACATGGATGGGGGCAGAGAGGAAGCTGAGTGCATGTTTGGGTTTCTTCCGTGGTACCGATATTTAAGAGTTGTTTCGTGAGGGGGAAAAAAGGGGAAGGATGACTGTTCTGGGTAGTGGCCCGCTGGGGAGCGCTGGTCAGCTGGTGCTTACAGAGCTGCTAGGGCGTTGTGTGCTTTGTACCCACGGCACTAGCATCGTCAAGGTGGACAGGATGCTGCTCTTGGGTGCCAGGAGGGAAGGCGGGAGGGAGAGCGAGTGCAGTGAAATGTTCGTTATTCGAAATCTCGTGTGGAGGGGGCTGTGGCAGTGCCGCGCGCTGAAGAATTGGAAGTGTCGGGAGCCTGAGCGGCTTTGCCGTTCGATCCGGATTCTGTCTATCAACGAAGAGCGGCTCGGAGAGAGACGTAGGGAGGGAAGGAGGGAAGGGGAAGGCACAGAGAGATGAGAGTGAGAGCTTCTTCGGACCCGACCGCTCCTTCGGGGAACGATAATCCTCTAAGTTCTAATTCTTGGATGGTGAGCCCGCTATTGCCTTGTTAACCTAGCGACTACCGCGGGATGCTCCACGCGGTCTGGAGCTGTTGGATTATGGCCACAAGCTTTCATAGGAGATGCTCATGGCGGCTGTGCGCAGGCTGGAGTGAAATGGAAGGGCATTGAAATGCATTTGTATCCATATATGTATGTTTGTGTGTACTTACGGAAGAGGTCCGGCGGGGTAATCAGGATGGGTGGGTGAGGCTGTGGTCGGGTTGGCGCGGTCACGATGTATCTGTCGCTTCATGCCGGACAGCTTGAGGACTGGTAGTGTCAGCTCTCTCCGGGTCCCAAGGTGTGAAGCCGGGCAAGTGGTGGGTGGGTAGTCCCAGGATGCAAGGGGAATGGTTCTGCCTCTTGTTGGCATTTACAAAGAAGCGAGAGTCCGTGTGCCACCCGAGAAGGTACATAGCACAGACGTAGGTAGCGTGAGGTGGTCCGTGAAATCCAGACATAAATCCGGATTTCCCGGTCTCCGGATTTGATGCCACTGTCCATGCTTATCCATGCAAACCACTCAGCCGTTGGCACTGTAGCAGCTGCCCTTCCTCACTCCAATACCCGCGCCCACTCCCGCTCGCAGCCACTGCCACCCACGCAAACAGTATGAAGTCATACCAGCGCCCCTTCCCCAGAACATCTCTTTGAGGACCTCCCTAGTGAGCAACCATGCCGAAGTGCAAGCTCTCCTGGGAGCGAAACGAGTACAGCATTTACGGCTAGTCACGGACAAATGCCTTAACGTCGCCTTTTAATCCCCTCCTGCGGCGCGCGTTTTCTGGCGGCTCCACGACCGGCTGCGCGCCAAGGATGGGGCATGACGCTTACGGCCAGGCGACTGCTGGCGCTGCATTAGCATTCCGGCTACACCGACTTTAGGAGGAGGATGATCCACTCCGGGAGTACGGATTGCACAATACGGAAGGGGAACCAATTCTAATAAAATATATTTGGGGACATGTTGTCCGTGTTGTCGAGTTGTCGAGGCAGCTAAAACGGACATCTAGCTTGTCGATTCCCGCCAGCGTGAGTGTTAAACCACCGTTTCGAATGAGGGAACTGCCATGGGGTGGGAGATAGGGGCTCTGCTAGGAAACCAACTAGTCTTTGCCTGTTTTGAGTGAATGGTTGCATGTGATGATGGCAGTGGATGTGGTAGCACTGCGACAACGTAAAACTGGCCCGGACTGGCTTTATCTCCCCCCATCGCCAGAATACCTCACTGAATGGATGCGTAGAAAGCAGTGAACGCGCCCGAAGCAGGCTTTCCGCAACCGTGCACGGGGCGGACGACCAGCGCTGTGAGGGCCATGATGCGCATGACCGGGAGTTTTGGTTCGGATGTCCTTGCACCGCGGTTACACACCTGCCTGGCTGACTGCCTGTCTGACGACGCAAAGTCACTGCAGCACATTTAAAAACACACCGACCATACCGACACGTCAACCGCCACATGCACCTATGGGTGCAAGCCATAAGTGCCTGCACCTCCACGTTGCCGGTCCAAGCCCGGAGCACTTTCCCACTCAGTAGTTACAAAGGACCGCAGTCTCAAGACGGGACGAAGGATATAAGCGCTCCCCGGGCACCAAGGGGCCAAAAAGCGGCTACGGTTGCCAAACCCAAGGCTAACACAATACCCTGCCTACACGCTACTGCCCCGCCACTGCACAAATACGCACGCAGGATAAGCCGTTGCACGTGCACGAGCCACAGCAAATTTCCCCTGAGGTTCCAACTGCTCCCAGCGGAGTTGCTGTTGTCTCAGTGGGCTGCTGTCTTGCCGGACCCGCCTGCTAGCTGCCGTTGCCTCTCCCGCTCAATCACCTGACGCCGCGTCCGCTGCATACATACAAGAGATGCAGCGTTTGAAGCATGCGCATTTTAATGCTTAGGCGCTAAATAGACCGGTGCATTTACCTCCTTGTCCCGATGAAGGCATTCGTTGTAGTCTTCCAGCCATTCCATGCACTCTTCGCGTCGCAGCTGAATCATAGGTGCCTTGCTTTCGTCCATGCACTGCATAAAATTGTTTGCGCTAGTAAAATGACAGCGGCGAGCGCGAAGCCTGTGACCATCGTAGTATTTCCACACCTTCAAGTAATCCATGTACCAGTCGTAGCAACGAGCAGTCCCGGAAGAAAGTCCCAAGCCAGCCATGGCTGCAAGGTGCTCAGTAGGGGCCCCACAGGGGAAAGGTGAGTTAACTGCACAGGGAGAGTCCCTGTGCTTTACCAACCCTCTCAAATCAATAAACAGAGACTTCGGAATTAGGCACTAACCAGGGCGACTCGTAAGGTCTGAGCCGTACAGCATACGGTATTCGGTATTATGCGGGGAATGGGGCAAAATGGTGCATTAACGCATGCCAGGTATCGTATAGATTACAAGGTTGACCTGTGAAATACGCAGAACTTCTTCACAAAGCACGGAAAACCATAGCTTGAGTTGCAGGGAAGGCTGTCACTATGTCCAGCATAAGCCCGCCCCAGCCAACCGAGGACTACAAGCGCTTACAGCTCATAGAGCAAGTACGTCACCCAGAAAATTCACCAGTGATGCCTGTACATACCCAGCCCAACTGCAGACAGACAAGGATACCTCCCCCACGGACTTTTGTCCCCGCGCAGAAAGTCATTTCATGCGTACAAATCGCAGCACAGGTGACGGAACACTTTTCCCGTGTGGGTCGAACGGCGGAGCTGGCAGGACCCGTGCAGCAGCTATGCACCACCTTCATGAACACAATCGCGGTATGTTCACCCCCTCGCGCACATACAGAGGCAAAGTAGCCCCTGCCTAGAATCCCCAGCCTACCCTTCCATGGCCGAAGCGGACCGTCAACAGCACCCACCCACGCAGCGCCACGCAGCACCTCGAATCCCTTTTCCTGACCACGTTTTCTCTGGCACCTTCACCTACACAGCCCCTGGCACCGCCTTTCCCCATTTCCCTTCTTCGTCTCCTGCTCCCCGACTCGCTTCCCTCACTTCTCTTCCCTTCCCTCCCCTTCAATCCCCACACGAGGGCCCACCTCTCCGTGACCCATTCTTGCGCCGCTTGCCATTCCGTCCCCTTCCCCCTTCCCTCTACTACCCCCTGCCTCCATCCGCCTCCAGGAGGCTCTCCAGCTGGTGAAGGAGGGCGCGGAGTCCAGCAGTGGCGACCATCGACTGGAGCTACACGCCTACCACAGCCTGGCCCGAGCACACATCAACACGGAAAAGCTACAGGTCATGAGAATGCACCTTGACGCAATGCAGGCGGAGCTGGAGGCGGCGGTGGGGGCAGCAGCGGCGGTACCATCAGGCCCGGCAGCAGGAGCAGGAGCAGCAGCAGCAACAGGGGGAGCGGCATTGGAAGCGGGGGCCCCGAGGGGGGGCGGGGGGCCGGGCAGCGAGCGGCAGGGGGGTGCAGGGGGCGGCGCGGAAGGGGAGGGGCAAGCGGGGATGGGAGTGGCGGAGGCATGGGGATCAGGGGGAAGCGGCGGGGGCAACGGTGGGGAGCGTGTTGATATGCCGGGTGCGACTCCACCGGGGGCTGCTGGGGGTGTGGCCATGATGGAGGAATGAGTGAGCGAGGACACGGTGTATTGGTGCCACGACGAGAGGGGTCTCTCCGGGGGAGCTTGTCACCTCCGGGCTACCCCCGCGTTGTAGGCGGCGGGGCGGGAATGCGGGCGGGCAGGGGGGGGATGCTGCTCCGCCTGTGATGTGGGCTCCGGGAGCCTGGGGGCTGGGGTTGAGGCTGGTAATGGCGGTATGGCGGTGGTGATGGTGGTGATGGTGGTGGCGGTGGCGGTAATGGTGAGAGTCTGGTGCATGGAAGCATGCGGCTGAGCCGCATATTTGGTGCTATGGTGCTTAGGAACCACTTGAATCTCGTAAAGCAGCGCAGCGCAGGTCCATAGCGCACCGCCCGCGGCGGTCCAATTAGGACATAAATATGTGGTGTGGATGGTCCGTCCACGCAGCAGCCGTGGCCAATATTCGCATGCTGCGGCGTTGCGTGAGAGCGAGTGAGCGAGCTGTTGGTGAATGGCTGTGGGGTCGTGAGGCCGTTTGAGCCACCAGCCTTCCGTAGGTGTGCTGCGTGTAGCCCTGTAGCGGTGTACATAGACGGAAATGAAGCAGAAGCAGCCGCAGCCGCGGTGGGTTCAGGTGGGGTGGGTGATGGTGTCCACGTGGGAATGGAGAAGTGCTCAAGGGGATCGGGGGGCCCCCCTCCGTTCGAACGCGAGATAGAAGATCCCATCCAGGGGATGGTGATGATGATGTCGAATGTCCAGTGCACTCAAACACCGCTTAGCTCCGCACTAACAGCTTCTACATATTAGGTTGCTCGGTTGCTGTGGATGGGAGGAGGCGGGCTCTCCTGGCTACCTGACGGCCAACAGGACACGGGTACTGGGTGCTGGGTGCTGGCATTCGCGTGTGTTCCCAGAGAGCAACGGATCCGCACATACATGCTGCAGTGGTACGGTCGTACAAATTCCTTCCCCTTTCGTTCCCTCCTCCTTTCTTCGCATCTCCTCTTGCATGGTGCGGTTAGCAACCGGGTAGTTGGTGCCTCTGGGCATGAAGCCGTGTATCAGCCGCTTCACGGCTCTTGTCATCAGGTTCACAGGTAAGGTACTTGCGGACTCACGTGCCCGCGACCATGTACGGCAAGAGCTCATACATACATACATATATACATACATACATACACATGCTTACAAGTTGTACTTGGTTTGTATTACGTGATGCACCACCACCATCACCTCCATGTAGCTTGTCAATAGCAAAGAATGCATGAATGTCAGTGCACTGAGTCCGGTCGAGGCAGGTAACGTCGAGTGGTCGAGGTCAATAAGAACCCCTATACGGAAGGAATCAACACACGCGCGTGTGCATGCTGCTGACGTGGATCGGTACATTATACACGTCCGTAACATGACACCCCCCCACACCTAAACGTCGAGGCAACATCGCCCCGGCTGGGTCAGATATGCGTAATAATAAAAAGTCATGAATGACAATGATGATGAGCGGAGGGCGCAAAGAACGACATACACGCCGTTTTGGCGGTGGTGGTAGTGGTAATGATGGCTGATGGCGCCGATGGGGCGGTGACGATATTGCGTAATGCGGTGTTGCTAACGGTTAGGGGAGCGGTAGCAGTAATGCATCTCTCACTTCTAGACTAATCTCTCCTGACTCCCGCCAACATCGGTCCAAGGCGCCAAAACAGGACAGCTCATTAACATAGAACGGTACACACATACATACACACATACATACACACATACATACACACATACATACACACACGCATACACACAAAACATGAAGGACTTAGCTCCCTCCGCCCAAAAGCAACGTCAACCTTCCACCACATCGACTTAGCCACTCGGATAAATAAATGCACACAAAGAACAAACAAGCACATAAAACATACACATATACATACATACACACACGAGGAGGACGCTTTTGGGTGTTTTCCTCACAGCCCCCGGTCCAACCTCATCAACCCAACCCGCCACCTGTACGACTTCTTCTACACATCCCACACCCCAGGTGGAACCTCGAGCTCCCGCGTTCGCCAATTTGGAACCCCAACACACCCCTGCCTGCGTATGCGTGTGCGCATGTGCTCCCGCTCATGTACGGCATCTATCTTCCCCCGTCCCGACTGCATGAACCTGGACTACCCGTGTGCCCCTGGCTTGGCCCTGTTCGCCCTGTTTGCTTGGGGTGTATCTGGCAGGCGATGCCGCTCGGTGTTGCCCGTCTTTGACACCTGCCAGCGCCCGCCCTCGTCCTACCTCACCTGGCTGCTGCCGCGCTGGTGACCACACCCAAACTCCAAATTCCAAAATTTGATACAATTGTAACTGTAACACCACCTACCTACCTACCTACCTTACCCACCTACCTATTATCCTAGTGACCTGACGGCCTGCTTACCTAGCTAAAGCCAATACAGCCAATACAGTAGACGAGGGCTAATTTTAAATGGTGCACGTACGCGCGCACAAATGCAGTACTCCGTGCCTTTTCCATGTTCCTTTCCCCCTCGCCCCCTCCCCAATTCCACTTCCACAAAACTTGGAACACCTGCCCCAGCTCGTAGACGTACATACATACATACATACACACACAAGCCTTGTCTCGTAATCTTGGCTGTCACAGCCAACAACGCGACGGCGGCCTTTACTTTTTCATTACCGCAAAACCTCCGTGAACACCTCCCCCTTCCTTACATCACGCCGTGCAACCGCCGTACGCAGCCACCTCGGTCACGGCTGGACTACGGTCACGGCTAAAACGCCCGTTCCTACATCGAAAAGAACACATCGCCTCTCCGGTGCGGTTGTCCTATTCTCTTTCTCCAGCTCTATCGCTGCCGTGTGGCCACCGCCACCGCCACCGCCGCTCCCGCCGCCGCCGCCATCGGCGGTGGCGCTCCCGGCCGCGGCGTCGGCGCACCCCCAGTTCCCCCCGCTGCGGACAGCCTTGCCGCCGCCGCCGCCACAGGGCTCTGCATCTGCCCGCTGCCGCTGCCGCCACCGCTGTTACCTGCCATTCCCGCTGCCGCTGCCGCCACGGACGTCATCGCCGCCAATTTGTTAATCACACTCAAGTTGAACGCCAGCGTTGAGCCATTGCCGCCGCCACCGCCGCCGCCGGCCCCACCGCCAGCCGCACCGGTGCCCGCCAGCACATCCGCCGCGCTGTGCCGCCCGCTGCGGTGCCCTCCTCCTCCTCCTCCTCCTCCACCACCACCACGATGGTGATGGTGATGATGATGATGTTGATGATGCTCCTTGTTGCCGCCCTTGCCACCGTCAGAAGCAGCGGCGTACCGCGAGCAGCACGACGCCGCCAGAGGAATGGAATCCAGCCAGTGGGTTAGGTCGTTACGCCAATCCGAGTCATCAACCGAAACAGACAACTCCAACAACTCCCGCTGCCGCGCCTCAGCCTCTCGGCGCTCCGCCTCCCGCCGTTCGGGCGACCAATCAGGCGGCCCCGCCGCCGAAGTCGCCGCCGCCACAACGCGCTCCGAAACCGAATCCGGCAGCGGCGGCAGCCGACAGCGGTGCTGGCGGAGCTGCTCGGCCAGCTGTAGCAACGTGTCGTACAGCGCGCGGAGGTTAATCCGGCCGCCAGCTGGCATGTGTTGGTGGGACCCAAAGTCCAGCGTTTCTGCACGCTTGGGTTCCGTGTACTGTGCAGGTACGGGAACCACGGGTCGGAACTTGTCCAGTTCCTGCTCTATTCGGTACTTGGCGACGAGCATGGCGCGAGCCTGCTGGTCCAACCAGACCTGTGTGGCTAGCGTGAGGGGCTGGAGGGGGAAGGGGGAGGGGAAGGGGGAGGGTTTTGTGAAGACGGGACGGGAAGGCGAGAATGGGCTGTACGGAAAACCTTTGTAAATACACAGGCACGACATCCATTTCATGATCCTCCTTTCCCTCCAAAATGCCTGTTCGCCTCCGGCAGCAAGTCCTCAAGCGCTCACCTGCCCGCACCCGCACACCCGCATACATACACACTTACAGACAGACACAGCCGCCCCCTACCCACCTTCCGCAACGTGACCTTCCTCCCCGCCACCCTCACTTCCGCGCCCACATGCAGGTCGAACTCGTCGACGGGGCGACCAGACGGGGTGACCACCTCCATATCCAAAGAGACGTACGTACTGCAGTACAGGGCAGCACAGCACGGTACGGGGCAGGAGGTGGGAGTTGGGCGGGTGGGCTGCACTTCGGAGGGGAGCCCGTATGACATCACGTCGGTGGAGGTGATGTTGATGTTGATGTTGCTGGTGTTGGTGTTGTTGGTGTTGGTGTTGTTGGTGTTGGTGTTGTTGGTGTTGGTGTTGTTGGTGTTGCTGTTGGTGTTGGTGTTGCTGTCCGGGGTGTATTCAAGTGGAGATGTGTCGTGGCCGCCCCCGGGGGCTGTCGCCGCTGCCAGTACGACATATAATATCGCTACTGTTACTCCTGCTACTGCTCCTGACAGGTCCCCTCACACCGCCTCTTCCGACAACAGCAGCCGATACGTTGTCACGCAGCCGAGGTATTCCAAGCCACTCGACATCGCATCGCAACCGTCGCAACCCAGGTGATTGCCACCTCTTCACCCTGCCTCTCCAATCCCCTCTCCCCCCCTCCCCCCCTCCTCATCCGCACACAGCCCCGCCCGAGACGAGCTCAACTCACCCCGCCAGGCACCGCCTAGTCAGCGTGTCGTACGTCACGTGCATATTGACCTGGGGGTTGGACCGTCGACACGTGCGGGCGAGTTGCGGCGTGAGAACTCCAGGGTTACGTTGGGCACATGCTGACATACATACATACATATATACAGGGTTTGGCACCACTGGTAAGGCGCGACCATTGCCCCCAGGAGATCCCGGGATCGATACCCGTTAGGGTCAAAGTCCTTCCGATGGTGGAAGGCATTGCGCCCCTAGTTGATGGACGGTGGTGACCTGGGATAAAGTTAACCTGCGAGCCGAACAGGAATGGAGTTGTGCCGCTGTCGACTCGGCAGATTCCGTTGGATGCTGGTGGTGGGTGCGGAACCTGAGCGATCCACTGAGAAGTTGACTAGGGTGACTGGATGAGGGTGCCCCGAAATACCGGGGAAGGCAGGATTTCGCAGGGTAGTTGCCACGGGCGAAGATACACCCCCCTGTTTCACACATCATACATACATACATACGTACATACATACATGCACGCGCGAGGGCCCCGTGGAGAGGAAGGGGGAAGCAATCCGGTACCCACACTCACCCGGTGTTGCGGCTTTTCATGCCACCAGGTTTCAAACACCAGTTTGGGGGGCAGAGGCACTGCGGTGAAGGGGAGCCAGGGGCCCGCCATGGCGGCACTGAGGGGTGTGTGTGGGAGAGGGAGGGGGGAAACGGGGGCGAGGCGAAACGGGGAGCGAATGAGGGGGAGGTGCAGGAGTCCTGCCGATTGGCGGGGTCGGAGGTGGCACTGTGCGGTGAAGTGGGTTGAGGTGCAGGAGGCGGCAGGTTCGGGGCTGTACAGCGGTGATGGTGGCGTCAGCTTCGAAACCGGCCCGGCCTATCCATCCCCCTCCTCCTGTCCCCCCTAACTCTCCTCCCATCCCCCTCCTTACCCCTGCGGTGTGAAGGGGCTCCGAGGTTGCAGCTCCGGGCAGTGCGGGGTGCCACCCACCAACCGACCGGCCAGCTTGCGACGCTCGGGCGACACCGCACCCGGGTATAGCAGCGGGCTGAGAACACGGGGAAGGGGGCCGAAAGGGGGGAGGGGGTGCACAGACGTGACACGATTCAGGACGTGTTTCGGGAAAGACGGGTGAAGACTTGCCGATGGGGGCTCAGGGGTGTGGGGGCTCTCAAGACTTTATACGCGGCTGTCGGGCTGCACTTCACCTTCATAAGAGAAAAACAGCAGGCCCAAGGCTCCGGTGTGCGCATGTGCGAGTAGAGGTGGTGTGGCAGGTTGGCAGCGCATCTCATCCCGGTGCCAGCGGTACAGCAACGCCATTGACAACGAGCCTTATGCTATTTGGAATCTAAGATTCTAAGATTTCGTGAATTAATGCCTGTCTGTTCACCTCCCCCACTTCCCCTCCGTGTGGGGCCCGGTCGCTTACTTGGTTCTTAGAGTTCCGGGCAGCTCGTGGGAGGGCTGAGACTGCTCGACCGCGACAATGCCCGAGGAGCGCCTGGGAAGGGGGCTACTGCGTGGGCGCGGGAGGGCAAGCGAAACTCAGCGGTTTCGGAGGACGGCCGGGGAGGTGACATTGAGGAATGAAAATAGAGTTTTATCCGGGTGGTGCTGTTGGTATTATAAAAATAGAGGTGCTGTATTTGATGAGGATTTCTGTATACGCTACGATGCGAGCGATCGGATGTGTGAGGCGTAAAGGCAGTATGCGAAGGTAGGGAGAACTCACCGCACGTCTTGCATTTATGCAAATTTGGTTGATAGTGAAGCGGATATCTACTAAGGTGTGTACTGAACGTTAACAACTAGGTGCGAAGCTAGGTCCTTGAAATGGACGGCAATTTCTCCGTGCTTCCCGCATCAATGGGGCGATTACGCACCCATTTAATGGGACTTGTGTTTACTAACTCTAACAGGTGCATAGGTGTGAACCGCCTCCAAGTTTTATCGTGTAAAACCTCTGCAAACCGGCTTTTTAGCGCATCCAAGGATTAAACAATCAATTTTTGCAAGAATTTTGAGTGGGATCAAGGCCCTAGTGCATGCCTGCCTGCCATTAAGTTTTCTGTGTTGTACGACGGGCGTGTTCCTCAGAGATTGACACCGAGCACCTCGAAAATTAGGCGTAAGCAGTTCCTTTTACGAAAGCTGCAAAATGCTAGGGTAGGGCATGCTGATCATCTCAAAAACTCGCTAGTGTGTGTGACGTTGTCATGGCCACGGACGTGCACCGGCGAGGGCACGGGCGTTCCTTGGAAGGACTCTCGGTTATTGCAGGTTGGTGCTGTATAGCTTGTAAATGCCGTTTCCTAAGGGCCGCGGCCTTGGAGCATCTGCTCAACGCCCATGGCTTGCAGCAGCAAGCAATTTTACGCCTCTGCTCCTAACGCAAAATAATTTACTTGCGCCGATAACTTAGGGGCTGCCCATCTCATACCGCCGGACGCCGGGCCACGGAACAACGCCCAGGCAGCCTTGCTCAGGGCAAGCTACCAGGTGAGCGTACTGAAATCAATAGTGGTTTAGTTACGTAGTTATAACGCAACATGTAACGGCTGTTACCGCTTCTGGCAAGGGGTTGGCTGTCATTTCTTACCTTTCGCCAGCTTGGTCTTTTCATGTTCTACAGCAATACGTTGGTGTCAGCTCAACTCCTGGAGATATACCACATGGCCAGGCGTCCTTCCGCCAGAAGGCGGATAGCTTTGGGCCGAAGCTTGTTCAGGGCGATTATACATACACCACCTCGAGGAAGAGCCTGATGGTGCGTTTATTGCCATAATTATGAGCCGCTTTTTAATGTTTCTGTAAGATGCTATTTTGTCTGTGCGGCCCGCCTTGGCAACTCCGGCGTTACGCCGGGCTCGCTCCGCAACCCCCACCGTGCGGGCTTCACCCGCCTATACGTACACTACGCAGTCCTACTTGCTATCCTATCCTGTTGTGGCCACGGATTGCGCGCAAACAATTCACATCACTTGTTTTCTCAACCAAAGCTTCCCACGCGCAAACGAAAGTTCGCCCGCCAGTTCACCTGCTGCGCAACTCCAGCGCGCGACACTGTCCCAGAGCCCTCCCCCCCCCCAAGCTCCCCTCCTTCCCAAATCCATACACCTACCCAAAGAACCAAATGCACTGCTATTCAGACCCATATTGTCGCATTGCCTCCGCTTCCCCCAAACCACACATCGCTCACCCTGCCTCCGCACCTCGTGCCCAACACAACAGCTGAATTGGTTTGACAATGTGCCTCTACCTTGTCGCGCGCCCCAACCTTACCCCTCCCCTTTGCCTCTACACCCCCTCTACCTCCAATTTACGAGGCAGGTATCTTCCCAGCTTGTAGGCGGTGGATCCCTGCCGCCTGGCGCTCCCCTCTCAGCTACAGCCTCCGCCGCCAGCACGGCACCGCGCGGCATCACAATCCCCGCCATGGCGACAACCAACGCAGTGAATGTGAACACAGCGGCGTGGAGGGCGTACGGCAGCCCCAGCGCAAGGAACCACCAGCGCCCGCCGCTGGCTCCTGGCACCGCCGGCGGCGGGAGTACGGCACCCGGACCGTCCAGCCCCTCGGGGTGGGTCGCGCGGAGCCCTCAGCAGGCTCGTGACCTTCCTCGGACGTCTCGCCGCGTGCTCCTGTGACTTAGGGTTGTCATACATTGTTCGCCCGCCACCTCCACCTCCCCTTTTCCCCCCTCCCGCGCCTATCCGCAGGAACAGGCTGCCCCGGGTAGGCGGCTTCAAGCCCCGCCGGCCGCAGAGCGCCCCGGGGCCCGGCGGCGGCGAAGGCGGCGGCAGCGGCGGAGACTTGGGTCCCGTCATCGCGGCCATCGCCTCCACCGCGTCTGCGGGCACCGGCACCCGCCGCGGCGTCAGGGTCCCGGATGCTGTGGACGTGGGGGTGATGGCGGTGGAGCAGCCGGACCCCATATGGGCGGGCCGTACGGACTCCGGGAGGATCATGTTCGAGTACACGCTGCCCACGGACCCGTACGCCAAGTACATTTGGGAGGAGCAGGCGAGGAAGGCCAGAGCCACCATGGCCAGACACATTGCCGCCATGGCGGCGGCGGCCGCGGTCAACGGCGGTAATGCCTTTAGCCATGGTAGCAGCGGCGCCGGCGGCGGCAGCGGGAGCGGCGCCAGCCGTCCCGGCTCCGCCAAGCGTGGCGTTGGGACCGCGGCGGCTGCGGCGGCAGCGGCAGCGGCCGCGGCGGCTGGTGGGTTGGGCGCATCGGGGTCGGGCATGCGGCCGCGGTTCTCCTCCACCTCACTGGCGGAGGCTGCTCGTCAGGGGTTGGACCACAAGCCGACTACGGTGGTGGGCTTCGCGGCTCCCGACATGACGGAGGACACCACCATGCCGGGTCCGAACGACCCTCGTTGGGCTTATACCCGGCTGGGTAGGTCCCAGCTGACTAGGCTGCAGCAGTCACTCAAGATGTGCCTCGCACCGAAGCACCAGATGCGCCCCGCCTCAGCGCCGGCCCTGGCCAGCGGTGCCGGTGTTGCCACCGCCACCACCACCACTGTTGCCGTGTCCGCTGTCGCACCCGGCATCGGCGTGGGTACGGACAGCAGCGTCAGCGCCGTAGGTGTCGGTGTCAGCGCCATTAGCCCGGAGGGCAGTTTAACGCGCGGAGAGTTGTCAGTTCTGGATCCGTTTTCGGATCCAGCGCAGGGCGGCGCCGCTGCCGTTACGGCGCTCGGCCGCGTATCGGAACTGGAAGGGCAACGCTCCGGCACCGTCACGATGGTGCGTACGGCATCCGGCAGCGGCGGGACACGGCCGGGATCAGCGGGGCTGGTGCGGCCCGGGTCGGCAGCAGCTGCCCGGGGGTCGTCGGGGAACTTGGCTCGACCAGGATCAGGGACCGTGCCGTTGCAGCAGCGGCCCAACTCGGGGGGCCTTATGCGGTCCGGCTCCGCCAGCGCTACAGGGGCCATGCTTTCGGGGCTCAACTTGTCCACAGGTCCCGCCGTTCCGACGGTGCGCGGTGCTTCGGCGGGCCGTACACGCGAGGCGGCGCCTAACCCGCGTGTGGACCTGCGCATGTACCTCGCGGAGGCGGAGGCGGAGGCGGAGGATGACGACGGCGGTACGGAGATGCTGCCGGTGGGAGATCTGGCTGCGGCTGGGCTGTTTGACGCCGGCGGCGGTACGGTACTCGTCGGCGCTGACGGCCTCCCACTACCGCCGGAGGTGCTGCAGAGCATGCCCGTCCCTGCGGACCAGCTTGCGGCGAGGCTGGCGGAGATGGTGGCCGCGGTGGCGGTGGTGGCGGCGCAGAAGCAGATTGACGGCAGCCATGATGACGAGAACGCCGACGGTG